TGACTTTATAAACCAAGAGACAGTTTGGGGATGTCTGCTCAGAGCCAGGTTTCCTCGGGTCTTGGCAAAAGGGAGCTCACTGAGCTTGACTGCTGCTGTCTTCTGCAGTGTTTGCTGCTGTAGTTTTCTTAAAGGGGCTGCAGAACCATTTAAAACTTGTTTCCCTCAGCAGTTAGCAGGTATGAGCTTCTGATTCATGCTAATCTTTGCCAAGAGGAGCACATGGTGACGTTTTAACACTGAGGATAGCTCTGAGGTTACTGGAACATGCTGCTCTCCCTCAACTAGTCACTGCAGCTGCCACCTTGAGATGTGCAGGGCAGCTCTGTGTCTGACATTCCCCTTCTGACAGCAGTAGCCTAGAGTCTAGACCACAGCCTGATGAAGGCGGCTAGAAAAATCTGTACAGAAGGGTCCGACTGCAAGATGACACAGGACCAAATTAGCTTATCAGCAGGCCTGGAGATGTACGTAAGTCTGGTAAAAGTTTGGGGTCATTTTTGCTGGGGAACCTGGCAACAGCTAAAGAAAACAAATGTCATAGATGTGGCTTAGGTTCTTGGATAATTTCAATTTGGGAATGATGGCAGACCAGCTTTGTATACAACATCCACCACTTAAAGTGGGTTAAGGCGATCCTGGCTTTTTAAATTCCCCAAGGTATCTGGCAGATATAAAGCAATCTTCTGAAAAACAAAGTAACACCACAGGCCTAAATTAACCCACACAGCTTCTTAAATATAATGCTTAGAACACAAAAGTCCTCATATTGATTAGCGGATAACAACGCGCAGCAGGAAAGAGCCCAAGCAACAGGAAGAACGCCCATGAAGATGCTCTATTAGATTTATGAGACAATTAAAAATATGTTCACTGTTAAGAGAAATTTTGTGGGTTAGGTATAAACCATGGAAACAGTCATGTCAGGGCTCAGCAGGTTAAACTTGCCTGCCACCAAGTCTGACAACCTGAGTTCAATCCCTGGGACCAGCATAGAACTAATTCTGCAAAGCTGTTCTCTGACTTCCACTCAAGGATGTGGCATGCATGCACACATACGCAAAATAAATGTAACTATTAAAAGTCCTATCAGACTTAAAGGAAGAAAAAAGATAAATTCTATGACCAGGGTTCAAATCCCAGCACCCACATGGCAGCTAAGAACTGTCTGTAACTCTGGTTCCAGAGGATCCGACAGAGTCTTCTGTCCTCTGCGGGCACTGCATGACACGGGTGCACTTACCCACATGCGGGCATAACACTCATACATATAAAATAAAAATAACAAAATATTAAAAAAAACAACAACAACAAACATTACTGAAAAACAGTTCCAGGCCCAAACAGCTTCAGCAGTGATTTCTACTTAAAAGATCCAGGAATATAGGTTAAATGTGCATTATAAACAAAATGTCACTAATTCCCTATATTGACAGAATGAAGAAAAGAAGCCAGAATCATGCCGATGGTAGGGAGGAAACCATGAGAAACAAAACCCATTCATGAAGGCTAGAGAAATGGCTCAGCACATTCCCAGCACCCATCATAGTAGCTCACAACTCCAGCTCAGGGGTGGGGGACTTGATGCCTGAGCATATATGTGCATACATGAATACACATAATTAAAAATAATAAAATGATCAATGATATCTGTGGGAACTATAAAAAGGTAAACCATCAGAAGCTTTCCCCGTGAGACAGAGTGCCTTTTCTATGCAGTGCTGCACCAGATGCATGTCTTAGCCAGTCCAACAGGGAAAGAGAATGATGTACAAATACATTACAAAGGGAGAGATAAAAAATTGCCATTATTCCCAAGTTATGATACAGGATGCTCACAGTACCAAATCTCCAAAATAGTTGTTAGAATACTTTTAACAAGATCAAATACAATTTCAATATGCAAAGTCAACTGTTTCAATATAAAATTGTACTGACAGTCTTTGCCAAAAACACAACTCATAAAAGTATGAAAGTAGATATAAATTAAAATTGTATGACATAATTGTATGATGTATAATTGTATGACATAATTGCCAAAAATAACATACATTATAAAAGTGTGAAAGCCCTTAAAACCCTATAAAACCAACTTTTTCTTTCAGAGATGGCCTCAGGCAGCCTAAGCTGGCCTTGAACTTACTATGAAGCTGAAGATAAACTTCATCTTCTGCTCTTCCAGCCTCAGACTCTAAGTGATAGGACACAGCTGAGTGCCACCATGGCTGGCTAAAGTATAAAGTTTAAAAATAAACTATTTTGCTTTCCTTTATGTGGCTATGGTCTTGTGCTTGCTAGGCAAGCGTTCCACCACTGAGCTAAATCCCCAACCTTATTTTTCTGTGTGTGTGTGTGTGTGTGTGTGTGTGTGTGTGTGTGTGCGTGTGTGTGTATGTGTGTGCGTGCGTGTGTGCATGCTTGCATGTGCAGTATATGGCATCAGGGCCAGAAGAGGGTGTTGGATCCCCTGGAGCTGGAGTTACAGTGGTTGTGAGCTGCCTAATGTGGGTATTGGGAATTGAACTTGTCCTCTGCAAGAGAAGCAAATGTTCTTAACCACTGAGCCATCTCTCCAGCCCATAAAATAGAAACGTTTACGTACATATGCCACCACCATAACAAATTAAAAGGCATTTCACAACATACTCAACAAATCAAATTCTGGGTGGATAGCAAAGCTAAAGGGAGCCATCAATTTGCTGAAAAGAACAGAGGAGACTCTCTTCCTGGTTTCAAGTCACAAATTTAAAAATGTATTACATGTTCATTTATTTCTGTGTTATATGTGTGGGTTCTCATGTGGAGGTCACAGGACAACTTAGAGGTGTTGATTCTTTCCTTCTATGATGTGGGTCCTGGGATTGAACTCAGGTCCTCAGGTGTGGTAGCAAGAGCTGGCTTGTTTATGAAACGATTTTTTAAAACAAGGTACAGAAAGCCATATACATACAAAAGATGGCCTCCTCCTCATGGTGACCCAAGGAAGGCAAATTAAACACAAGATTGGGATCAATTCCCAGCACCCACATGGCAGCTATCAACAGTCTCTAACTTGTTCCAGGGGAATCCAACACCCTTTTCTGACCTCTGTGGGCATTGCATGACACAGGTACACTTACATACATGCAGACAATACATTCATCCACATAAAATAAAATAAATATTAGGGGCTGGAGAGATGGCTCAGTGGTTAAGAGCATTGGCTGTTCTTGGAGAGCACCTGGGTTCAAATCCCAGGACCCACATGGCGGCTAACAACCATCTGTAACTCCAGCTCCATGGGAACCCAATGCCCTCTTCTGACCTCCTTGGGCGTTGCACAGGACAGGTGCACCTACACACATGCAGGCAATACACTCATACATATAAAAATAAAAATCTGAAAAAAAAGAGAACAGAATAAAGGGGCTGGAAGCATGTCAAAGTGGTTAAAAGCACTGGCTGCTCTTGCAGAAGACTCAGGTTTGGTTCCTGGTACCCATATGGCAACAACAGCCCCAAACCCCAGTTCCAGGGGATGTGATGCCCTCTTCTAGCCTCTATGAGAACTGTATACATGTGGTGCACTTACATACATGTGAAAATACAGTTCTACATAACAGCCTGGAAGGTGCTCACAAAGGCTGAGCAAATGCTAAATAGAGAAGGCACATGCGTTATAATTACGTGAGAAGAGCAGAAATCAAAGTCATTGACTTGGGGAGTGGGGGAGACAGAGAAGCGGCACAGAGAAGTAACTGGGGGGAGACGAGGAAGCTGTGAGAATGGCAGTGCTATTCTGTGTTCTGACCTCAGTCAGGGTTCCAAAGCTGCCTACTTTGTAGTAACTGGGCATGGTGTACATTTTCACTTCTCTGTGTTGGAGTGAATGATAAAAGTAGTTTCTTTCCCTCAACTTACCACTGCAGCTATAGAGTTGTTGAACTGCACTTAACAGCACTAAACTGTGCACTTTTGTGTGTGGTATATGTGTTTGCATGTTTCTGCATAGAGGCCAGAGGTCAATATCAGGTGTCTTCAATCATGCTACACCTTATTTTTTGAGACAGGGTCTCTCACAGATTCAAGCTCCAGTCTTCTTCCTGTCTCCAGTCTTCCACTTTCAGCGATCATGTGAACTTTTGAGCTTTCTTTGTGCTTTTAGTAGTTTGTAGTATACACTAGGCAAGCACTTTCCCACTTCGCAACTCCCCCAGGCCTGGATCATGATTTTAAACAGGAGGCAACAATTCCAGATTTTATGGTCTGCAGGTTCCTTGGCTACAGAAACCCAGTAGTACAGCTGATGCTTTCACACTGTCCGGGCTTTAGACTCCTGGTCCTCACCTAGGTAATCAAAATGCTACAACTACAAACTCAGCTAAGTTAATGTCAGTGTGAAAACCAAATTTTGTCTTCGGACTCACTGTCTCAGTACCTTGTTTACATTACAAATCTTTACTGTCTAAAAGCCATTCTGCACCTAAAACGTCAAGGTCCTGATGCTTATATTTAACTGTGATATTTAGTGTTAGCAATCATACATAAAATGAATTTAGGGTTCTAAAGAATCTTCTAGGCAAATCAGGCTATGTTACAATGTGGCCAAACTATTATATCCTCACTTTTCTCCCACAATAAAACTATGAGTTCTTGAACTGTTATGGCATTTTACAGACAAGATACAATGAACCAAAAACTGTTTCTTAAAACCGAGAAGGGCGAGGGGTCTCTCCTATGGAAAGTATGAACACTACACTCAAGACTACATCTCAGAGCCTTGTGAAATGGGAATCTGTTATAGTCCTTATTTCCTTCCTCTGCTCTACCCCACAAAAAAATGGCCAATATGAGTTTTTTAAAATTTTGGGTAAAAAAAAGGTGAAACATGTTTTAAGTTGAGCTGACTTTCCCACACACGTTCTCTAAAACCTCTGTAACTGTGAGCAAAGGAGGAGAATGGGAGCAGAACACTGTACCACCTTTCAAAAACAAGATCTGTAAAAGACAACACTTAACACAAAATTTGAATTAACTTTATTTCCCCTAAGGTCAACAACTTCTCTGCATTGAAGTGTAAAGCAACAAAGTAAAATAAAATCCCTCAAATGACAAGGTGTCGGAAATCCAGATTTAGTTATGTTTTATTTGTGAAAATGTTCAGCCACTTTATTGGTCTGTAAAAGAACCATCATCTGGGTCAAAAATGAATTCTACAAATCAAAGAATATTCTACACCTTGAAAAAGGATATCAGCAGTAACATTCTCACTGAACATTGGAAATTACATTTTTCTTCATAAAAGGTACATACTATTCTGTACTTTCCCACCAAAAGCAGTGGTGTGTTATGCTTGTTATATAAAAAAAGTTCTCCTGTGGCAGGAAAAACCCTTTCTCTTTCACTTTTACTAAACAACTGGAGAAAATTTTCAAGTCTGTATAAAGTTGCTTATAAGCTGGAAAATGAACATGTTCAATCTCCATTTATATTTTAGTGCATTTTTTTTGACAATTGTCACATTTGTAATAAAAGTAAGAAAATGCCTACATAGCACTAGAGTGTTTCATCAAATGCCTAAGGAGCAGAGAACAGAAATCATTGTGATGAACAATAGGTGTCAAAGGAGAAAAATCCAGGCAAAGTTTACAAATCCTTTGTCATTTTGAAGGGTCACAGAAAATTAACTTTGGATACCTGTCCACTTTAAGGGTTTTCCCTTCATCTTCTGCATGTAAACATGGCGCTAACCTCAGTACTAAGGTACCCAAGCCATCCTGATGAGCAGCATTCCGTGTGTGGCCGCCATGATTCCCAAAGGATATAAATTTAGCCCTTGAATGAAGAATGTATGAAACCTGCTCTGCAAGTACCTGGTGGAAACACTCGCCAACTGCAGTACTAATGCGTCAGCACAAACTCTAGCCAGTTACCTATGCAGAGGTCCACCTTCAACAGCAGTTTCTTACAGCGACAGTAAGACAAAGTGTGCATTTGATGAAACATTCTTCGCACTGGAGAAACAGGAAAAATAAATAGAGTTCACGGAAGTAGAATCACTCTGCTAATACCTCTTTCTCAGACCTGGACTAGTTTGTGTACTGGTTCAAGAAGTTCTTGTCACATTTGCCACTTGTATTTTACATATTGCTATTTGGGTAATTCAAACAAAATGCAGGTCTTGTAAAAGAATAAAAACATGGACAAATATGCATGTGCCAGGGACCAAATCAGAGGGTTCTTTGGTGCAGTTAGTCCAAATTCTCAGATTTGAAGGATAATATGTACCAATAAAAAAATCTGCTGCTAGGCGTTCACAGCAGGGCTCTGTCTTGCTTCACGTTACAAATCGAAAACAGCTGTTCTCAATAAACCAATTTAATTTTTAAATGAGGCATTGCCAGAAAATTTTGTACATTAACCTGGACCAGTGATGGTTCTGTACCCTTGGTGCTGTGAAACACGACATGAGCTGAAGGCAAAGACCGGCTCTCACAAGGACAACAGCTGCAAATCAGGAGCCTGTGTCTAAACAGTCTTCTTAGATATTTTCTTGCCTTTCTTAAAAACTAGCTTATTTTTAATGTAGCCACGCTTCCTTTTGGTAGTCTAAAAGAAAACAGAACACATGGTATTAGTGCAGGCTTCTTACAGACTAAACCATCTAGAAACACATGGCTCACTGTATTATAAAGACTGTCTTTGGCGCTTCTTGGGACCTGACCCTTGAAATTTAAAGTTCAAGTGAGCAGGACTGTTTTATGCTGAGAACTCTGAGGTGAACAGAGCTTGGTCCCTGGTTTTAAGAGGAAAGGGAGGATCAGCACAGCATCCCTCACACATCTCTCTTTTTAACCACTGAATGCTTAGAGGTAATGAGTATGAATTCCAGGCACTAATCTAAGGAATTAGAATATGTTAATGCTGCTGTTGGCTCAGCCTCCAAGGAACTAAACTGTGTGTCAAAAATACAAGTTAATTTAGTCACCTCTGGAGCTTTACTTTATTTGGTCTTTTTGAGAGGATATCCCAGTAGCCACAATTGGCCTAGACTCACTATGTAGACCAGACTGGCCTCGATCCCACAGAGATCCACCTTACTCTGCCTCCCAAGTGCTGGGGAGTGGTGCTCCCATGCCTGGCGGGCTTGCAAAATGAGGATGGCTACCCAACTACAAAACTGAAAAGCAAAAATCACTTGGCACATTCTCTAATGTCCTTTGAGGAAGGAAACTTGGCACTTAAATATGAAAAACAAACATTCCTTGAATTTTATAAATCTTTTAAGATAAAACATTTTTCTTTTTTTGCCTTTCGAATAATTTTATTTAAAACAGGAAATCTGAAACAGGCTTTTCTTTCTGTTAGCACTATGTGACAACACTCACTGTGAAAATGAATGAAGGTAACTGATTTAATCGTCACTCCATGATTTTTTTTTTGTGTATATTTCATACAGAACATCTCAAACAATCTTATTCATCTTTATACCCACATCCCAAATGGCACCCTCCCATAGCCTCCCCCCATAATGGAGCCCATATACTCTGTCATTCCTGTTACTGTCCGCTATTGCTGTCAATGCCCCTAGAGGTTCCACAGTGCAAGTTCATCCGCTGAGTCTAGTTAGCCTATCTAAATTACTTTGTTTTAGGAAGATCAGCTCTTCCTCACCTAGTAGCAATCAGTTGTCAACATTCCTTTAGATAAGTTAGTATCTAAAATAGAGTCTTACATTATGTATACGTATATATCAACACACACACACACACACACACACACACACACACACACATTGTGTATATGTGCATGCAGGTGCACATGCACACGGAAGCCAGAGGTCAACCTCAATTTCTCTCCACCCTATTTTTTCGGACAGGGTCTATTACAACCTAGAGCTCACCAAGTCAGGTAGGCTGGCTGGCCAATGAGCTCCAGGGATGTACCTGTCTCTACCAGCTCTGGGGTTACAGGGATGTGCTGCCATCCCCTACTTTTTATGTGGGTGCTAGGGATTGGAACTCAGGTCCTCATATTTGTACCACAAACACTGTATTCATTCATTATCTCCCCAGCCCCAATAAAACACTTTCAACAGGTGTTTTCTGGTATAAGAAGCAAACTACAGCTGATGTGATTGTAGAAATTACTGCTAGAGCATTTGCCAAGTTAGAACCCTACAGAATACAAGCACGTTTGTACATTTGACACAAAGTCCTAGATACCGAAGAAAGCAATATGTAATTCACTGCACATCATCAAGGCACTAGGTTTCTAAAATACTCTTTGAGGAGTAACTTATGTCCCCCACCCCCACCCAGTAAAGGTGCTTACTGCCAAGCCTGCTGACCTGAGTCTGACCCCCAGGACTCATATAGTAGAAAGAATCAACTCCTGTAAACTGTCCTTCAGCATCTGGGGGAACCATGGCATGTCCCTGGTCCAATCAACAAGTGTAAAAGAAACACCAGTTTTTATTTTAATACAGGTAGTCAGAATGGCAGCACTCAGGAGACTGAGATAGGAGGATCCCAGGTTGGAGGCCAGCCTGGGATACATAGTGAGTTCCAGGTGGCTACACAGCAAAACTGCCTCATAAAAGTAAATAAAAAATATTTGCCACTTTTACAGTATAAACATACATAACCTGTGTTATGAATGCATTTGGTATAAACTTTAACCAAGATAAAATAGTCACTTCAACAATTTAAAGTAACTTGAGCTATGGAAACCCAAGCTTCTCTTAAAAATGGTAACTAAAATCAGTTTAATAATTAGTGCACTAAGACTAGATAGAACCTTACAACACAACTTTAGCATTTTAGCAACTGCTCATCACTTCCCATCTTCCACTCCACTCATTTTTAGTCATCTTTAAGAGGAAAGATTAAGAGATCTACTTGACTTAAATGAGCAATAATGACCCCCAGTAAGAATACTTCCTTATCCTATTAAACATTTATTAGAAAAGATTGCAATGGTCTCATCATAATTCCTCCCTATAAGCTCTGTCATAATAATTACACTGAAAATAATTAGCTTAAGATAAATGACTTTTTTTCCCTTCAGAAAGACTCACTCAACTAGGGCCCATTTTTAGTCAGAGAATAATCTAATAACATCATACAAGAACAGAATATGAAGATGCAATACAAATCTGCTTTAACCCAAAGATAAGAAACTAATAGTGACACTTCTTTAAGCACTTGGTATTTTTACTTTCATGCAGGTTTGGAAAGTGATGATGACAGATATTGCTTAGAGACATCCCACCAACAGGCAGGGCACAGACTACAGTGAGAATGCCTCTAGAAACACCTCCCCTGGGTCACCAACTCTCAGGCCACCTGGAAAGCTGCTACTAAGGAATCACCCAAGTGCTCATGTTGAAAAGAATTTTCATAGCCCTGTATTTACTTTGTATATATAAGTCACAGATCTGTGTGGATCTTGTAAGTAGAAATTTATTAGCAATTTTTAGTAATTATTCTTCATACCAATCAATCCACACACCAACCCTGAATTACCCATCTGTGAAAATGACTTCGTATGGCACCCACCTTCTTTGACAAATACTTCTGTTTGGGGAAGATGTTGGTCACTCGAGGCTTATGATCTAATGTCTCCCTGTTGTCGGGTGCTTTCACTTTATATATCCTGACAAGCCAGTGTTCTGATGTAAAGGCCTCCTCCAAATGCTTGAATTTAATGTCCTTATTTCCAATTTCGGCATTACGTGTTCGATCAAAGCCTGGGGGTGTACGAAAATCTAGCTGCAAAAGTAACATCAGTACTGGATGTTAACCACACTGGAGAACAGTGCTAGACAGCAGTGAGTCTCATCACAGAGCACCATCCTTCTCTAGGAAACAGAGTCAAGGTATCTTATAAGTTATCATATATTCATAACTAGGTGGGAAGAAAAACTAAATATACCAGAATATCTATTTCACAGAGTCCTTAAGACAGATGAGCAGCCTACAGGTAATGACAAACCATAAAATTGAAACAAAATCCATTCAAACCCTTCTTCCAGTGCAGGGGACTAATATACAGAAGGTGTTTCTCTTTCTTTGCCTGACATGGTCTTCATTCAGCTCTTAGGCACTAGACTGATAGCCCAAAAATCATTTCTTTAGAGACAAGTTTTTGAAACTGGTGGTAAGACTCAATTCCTTCCTTAGAGCCCCACTCGTTTACTCCATAGCACACTCTGCTGATATTTTTATGCAGTTTTAAATGATTTCTACCCTCCACTGGCACGAGGACTATCTCAATTGCACTGCAGCTCTATCTCTGCTATTTGCTAAAGTGAGTAACAAAAACACTATGTCCTGAAAGTGCAAACTTCAAAGGAGGCTAAGTCAGCTGGCCTATGGGACTCACGAGAATTAGGACAGACAGCTGACATCCTTTAAGGAATTGTTAAGCCAAGTTCATCGAGACATACTTTAAAATAAAGAAGAAAAACAAAACAAAACAAAAACCAAAAAACCTCTTCCAAACGGTGGATAACACTTATAAAACAGTAGGAGAGTTCTTGCTTTCCTACACAACAGTAAATTTACACTTCATGTTTGAACATGCATCATTCTTAAGGCAGGCATCAAAATGAATGCATGTGAGCAACACAGCTTACACTGTTCATAAAACTTGAGTGGGAGGACAAAAAGAGCTCTGTCACTGCAATCATTAGTGAGCAAAGAACTAATCATTCACCCAAGAAAAACTATTTTCTGGAGTAACTATTACAGCCATGTGCTTCTTTCTTATTATACATGAATTTGGAGACCAGGCAGTGGTCTTCAAAAGAAGCAAAAATACAAAAATTCACATCTAGATTATCGTCTTTCTGGCATTTTGCTTTTAAAGCCACCAACGGAGTAATTCCAAGTGAATAACGAGGCAGATGCCTAGTTGTATACATCTACCTGGTTGTGTAACATGGTAAATAGGAGCACAGCAATTCACAAACTCTTCTAAAACCTGAGTCTTCCAGACCTTACTAACCATAATTACTATATTTTACAAAAGGATAAAATCTGTCTCACAAGTTGAGGCCCAGACAAACCCTTTCAGGTTGAGTTAGAATGATTCCTGGTAGTAGTTATTATGAGCAGGTAATTTTACTCTGCTTTCTAGGGCACAAAGCTGACTAGAAAGAAATTTGGAATTAATTTTCACTGGTACGACGGCATCAACTAGGTATTGTAGTCATGGCATCCAAGGGCTGTAAAAATGCTTAGCAACTGTTAGGGAAAACATAATCTTTTCCTACAACCTTCACGAGTTCTTAGGTTGGGATGGACCCCAACAACAACAACAACAACAACAACAACAACAACAACGTTTACCAATACATGTACCACACAGAGTATAGGAGAAACCTCAATGAAAAGTCACTCCAACCCATGGTTTAGAACTGCAGCTCACAGACCATGTTCAACCAAGAACAGTGAGCTGGTGGAGAGATGACAAATAAAGAGGGCTTGGGTCTCCACAGAGGGAGCATCTATTTAGGAGAAAGCTGAGAGAGTAAATAAGGTTCGTCCCCAGACTGCTCTGCTGCCCTCTATGGATTGAGACAAAGTTTGAAGTTATCTTCAGTAAAGAAGAATTTAATTTCCACCTTTAGGCAGAAAGGAGGCTGGATAAAGACAGCATTCCTTTCCTTTGCTGCCCATTATTTGCTTTTAGTTCAAAAGTTATTTTTATGTCAGAATAGCATATTCTGGGTTCCATCAAAATCAAATCATCAGTCTAATCCCCCATTTCTTACAGACAAGAAAAAGCCCTTGATCTAAATTTTTTTTTTCTAACTTGTCACAGAGTTTAGAATCTATTTAGGCATGTTGGCACATGCCTCTAATCCCAGCACTCAGTAGGCTGAGGCAGGAAGATCAGGAGTTTGAAATCGAAACATATGGAGAAGAATCCTTAGTAAGCACATTTCTCTCCACAATACAATCAAAACATCGTTATCTTGTTTTCTAGAGTTACCAAGATTTTTTGTTTGAATAAAGATTATAGAAAAACTAATTGAACCAACCTGCATTTCTCCAAATCTGTAGTACGACATTTTATACATAAGGCAATTCAACAAAGTAGGAGATCCAGCTTTGTCTACACGGAATTCTCCCTGTTGGGTAAAATAGTCACCTTCCTATGAGGAAGACACCAGAAATTCAATGTCAGTTCAACTTAACTCAGTCAAAGCTATAGGCTCCAGATTTAATAGCATTGTAAAACTATATTCATTTATATTCGCCCAGTCCCCACACTAATCCTGTCAGATTTTCAGTCATATTGTTTAAAAAGAATGGTACAAACTCCATGTTTTAGTTCCAGATAGGGATAGCCATGGTTTACAATGAGAGAGTACCAAGATCTGCTGTGAAGTAAAGTGTGTACACCTTGCATCTAGTTATGCTTGAGTAAGAATCACAGACACAATGGCATTAGCAATTAGGACTTTTTTTAACTAAAAAAAAAACTGTATGATGTACTGTGATTTGATATATGTACACAATGCAGAATGGCACGCATTATTTTCACATACTTATTTTCTTATGGTGATAGCACTTAATCTATTCTCTTAGCAAGTAAGTCCAGAAAACATGGATTTTTAACTGAGAAGAAACTTTTTTCTGAGGGGTAAACTTTTACTCCTTTTTATAAAGTTTAAAAATAATGAATTTTAAAGGCACAGAAATTTAGGTTTATGTATCTATCAGTGTTCAAAGTATGTATTTGGAAATACTGATCCAATTACAATTTTACTAGTGTTAAAGCAAATTCACAAATTAAAATATCAGGAGAATTAAATTTTAGAAGATTGGGGGCTGGAGAGATGGCTCAGTGGATAAGAGCACTGACTGCTCTTGCAGAGGACCTGGGTTCGATTCCCAGCACCCATACGGTGGCTAAGAACCGTCCTTAACTCCAGTTCCAGGGGAATCCGAAGCCCTCTTCTGACCTCTGTGGCATTGCATGCACGGCATGGGTACACTCACATACATGCAGGCAATACACTCATACACATAAAAATAATAAAATATTAAAAAAAATTTTTTAGAAGATTGATTTGCTGTAAGGAAATGTTTGTTAATCACAGTTAAGGGAAAATATTATAGCATCTTCATCTGACTATGTCTGGCACTTTACTTCACCCTCTCACAGGATGCACAAACATTTCCCAAAATTCTGCCCAGTCTTTCACACTACTTGGGTAAACAATTCTCATTCTCATCTTTTGTGCCCTCTTCACATAAAGCACAATTCTAGCTGCCCATATTTTGAGAGTGGGGACAGAAGATCAAATCAAAGTACAGATCAATTTGCTTTGATGGTATACAGACATGGGCACCTTTTCTGGAGAGGAAGTGGCCAGTGTGTGAAGGGAAGGTATTCCAAGACAAAGAACGTTAAAAAACACATGTCAAATGAGTCAAGAAAATAAACCATAGGCAGCTTTCAGAAGGCCAAGAGACCAGCAAGGAAGGTGAGGTCTAGGGGCTTGTGTTCCAGGCACTAGAGTTTGAACTTTCCACCAGTACGTCACCAAGGGATTATATCATACTAGTTGCTAGAGAGAAGCTTTAAGTGCATTACTACAATTTTTCATAACATCACTACAAATGACTATAACTTGTATCCATTAGATCCTAGGAAAAAGACCTAGTACTCAAAGCATTTATGTTGACTGGCACAAAATAACTTGCCATAGCACCTAGCTGACAGAGTTTTAGTTCCAACTCACATCTGTTTGATTTCAAGGCCTTTTCCCATAATATGTAGAAAGTGGCACATCAATGTCATAGTACATGGAAGAAGGAATAAAACTAAGGCAAAGGCAGTAATCTCAAGACCACTGGTCTCTTTCAGATCAGTACACAAAATGGTCAGTGCTAGCAGGAATAATGGAAAGTGAAACAAAGGGTTGAAGTGAGAGGCTATGAAGAAGTAAAAGTCAGAGGACTGGCATGGACAGGATGAAGTACAATCATGAGCATATGTTCTGAGACAAGCATTATTAGTAAATTCATTGTCACAGGAACACCAGATGCATGCACACAAATCTAGACACTATCACCTACTACATACCCAGGTTATTTAGTATAATATTGTATATACACAGTGTATTGTCAATTTAATGTGGCTACATGGCATGTGATTCTACCAATTATGAGTTTGAAGTTTTAAACTTAGGAAACACTTTTAGTGTTTTTAATACAGCAGGGAACTATGGAGGACGAGATGAAGAAAACAATGCAATTAGCAAAGAGAATGACTTGGGCACTGACCTGTTTAACATACCTGAGGTTATCTAGTCACTTACCCGAATATCTTTTGGATGTTCCCCTTCAGCTATCCTAACCATCCAGAGAAACTTGTTGATATCATCACCAGAATAGCCAATAACCCCTCCAAAAATAACCAGAACATAATCTACATCCAGAGTCCTCATGATTTTATAGGCTGCTGTTTCATTAGAAGACATAGCTTTTCCTACCTGCAGGTTAAAATAAAAATGTATATTTTTACTATAAGATGAAATTCATCAAGAGCTTGATTTACATGGAAATTTTTGTATAAATGATTTTCTATTTTATAAAGTTATTTACAAACATCTTACTATTATAACCATTTATAGCAGAAATGTCAAAATCTGAATACATGTCCTATAATTGACATTAACATTTAAAAATGAAAATAAGTCAGCTCTTAAACAGTTTCTCCCAACTTCATGTTGAGGCTGGTCCATGATCTCACTATCACACGGCAGGTTTCTCCTGAGTCTAGTAGGCACTCACAAACAGAACTCATTTAAGACCTTCATCTACTCACAATCTTTAAAGCAATTAAATCTTTAAACTGATTAATGTACTGAGATTCATAATTTAATACACTGAATATAATTTACACACAACAGAAACAATGCATTAGCTTTTCACAGCTGTATATTATTTTTCTTAACTTTGTAATATAGAAAATATAAAAACATTTTAAAGATTTCGGATTTTGCCAAATTCTCCAGTGAACTAAATATATCACAAAGTCTATCAGAAATCAGCTTACAATTGTGAATACATAAACACTATTCTTAAAAACCAAATAAACATTTCAGAGTCACTGTACTGAACACACATTTTAACACCTTTCCTGTTTAATTCTAAGTGAAGTGTGACTGCTTCATAGTAAGTACCTTTGTTCTTTAAAAAACAAACAAGAAGCCAAGTCCTTACCAGCGCTATGTGGCTGTTATTCCAGGTGTTATTATCCACCAGCGTAGTTCTATTGGCCATTCCAGCTATCTGATAGCCATAATCCCACCAAGACATCACCCGGGCATGTTCATCGGTATTTTGCCTTAGCCAAAAGTATGCTTCTCTAAAATCATCTAAGATATTCCTGGTGCTGAAAAGAATCACAGTATTCTTTTAAATGAGATCTTTTTTAAGTGTGAAGAAGATAAATCCTCTATCAGTAAGGAAAGAAGAAAAATGAAGAGCTACACCAGTGTTTCCTGAATTAATGTACAAACAGGTTCTAACTAGTTTTGGGACAGGGCCTGATGCTCTGCAAGTCTATTAAGCTCCTAAGAAAAGATCAAGGGTGAGACACGGCAATATAGAAACCAGCTGTCAGGGGCTGGAGAGATGGCTCAGCAGTTGAACATTGGCGGTTCTTGCAGAAGACCAGGGTTTGAATCCCAGCACCCAAATGGCAGCTAACAACTGTCTGTAACTCCAGTTCCAGGGAATTCAATGGCCTCTTCTGTCCTCCCCTTGGGCACTGCATGACACGGGTGCACTTACATACATGCACGCAGGCAATACACACATACACATAAAAAAAAGAATTTTTTTTTAAAAAGGAAGAAATCAGCTGTCAAAATCTAGCTGCATCAGAATCACCTGGGCCTGTTAAACTACAGCTCAGTAGGGCCACCCCAGGTTTCTTATTCAGTAGGCTTAGGGTTTCATGGTGATGATGACCAGTGTCTAAGGCTCACTGTAAGACATGCTAACATAATTACATATGCAGAAAGACTTTGCAAGGGTATACTATATCTACCCCAAAGTTTTGGGGTAAGGCCACACTGAAGAAAAAAAAAAAAAAAAAAAAAAAAAGAAAGAAAACAAAACAGTAAGCTTAAGGTGTGGGATTTGTAGGTGAACTGCAAGCACTTGCCTATCATGTGGGCAATCGTGGGTTCCATTTTTAGTACTGCCTTAAAAAGGCAGAATCAAATTCAGTTTCAGGGGGGCTGGAGAGATGCCTCAGTGGTTAAGAACACTGGCTGCTTTCATAGAGGATCCAGGTTTAGTTCCTAGAACCCAAGGCTAACAATCACCTGTAACTCCAGTTTCAGCACTTACATGCATGCAGGAAAAATACTCATACGAGAGAGAGAGAGAGAGAGAGAGAGAGAGAGAGAGAGAGAGAGAGAGAGAATATAAAACCCTCTCATGGCTATCTTCTTACCCATCATGATTGTAGGAGGCAAGGACCACACTTGGACTAGAGTAGGCATTGCTAGTGACCCATGTGCAGTGGACAGCAAACATCATCAGAAGCATCAGCATCAGCATGGTTACGATGCTTTTGATGTTAGGGCCTAAGCCCTCTTCAGGTTTTTCCTGCTCTGTTACATGTTTTCTCACTTTACCTGCCTGAAGATACAAAAAAACCATTAGAAGCCTTCATTTGACTTAATTAAGACAATCCAGGGGAAAGGATGGGAGAATGTTAGTTTATCAATCTAATTCTATGGGTTAGAAAACGTGTGATAATCAGGTATTTTTCTGAGGGTGATGGAGGTTTTTGATTTTTAAACTCAAAGATTCTAAAGTCAGATTTCCTTAGTGTATATAAAAATTCAGGAGGTGATCTCAGAGCAAACTACCTCCATGATAAAAAGCTGCCTTTAAAACTAGTTGCTTATGTCTCAAATATTTAAAAGAGTTAACTACATGGCCTCATTCTAACAGCATAAAATCCAGTAATATATCCTTATAAAAATCTTAATTCCACTCTTGAAAAGGCTATGTCTACCCATAATCCAGTCTAATATATAAGCAGGGAAGAAACTCTATACTCAAAAACCAATAAACAAAGATCACCTTAAACATACACATAACTCCCTCCCCTAAAAAAACAAAAACAAAACAAAACAAACAACAACAACAACAAAAACTGTTGGAGAGAAATGTCATACACTCTAAGTTATAAGCCTGATTAAAGAAGCCACAAAACAAGAAATAAAATATGACTACAACAGCAAGTATGTGCTTAATTAACACAAATCTTTATGAATTACATTGATCTTACAGGAAGGAAATAAAGAATTTCAGCCAATTCTTATACTGGCAAGTTTCACTGTTTATCAGTATTGAAAAACCTAGTCAGTATTAAAATAGCATAGTTTAATAGGTCATTCAAGACAAGTGCTCTAATTCTCAGAAGTCCTTCCCACAAGGAAATATAATCCTGTTCCTATTGTTACGTACATTATCAATGAGTTCCACTGTTCAGCCATTACCTACTGCTGCTGCTTTTATCATTTTTTAGTTTTTAAAGAGACTAACCAAATACCACTTTCAAGTACCTTCCAAGCTGTCGTTTTAAAATTTTACACAGGGCTGGAGGACTGACTTGAATGTTGTATGCTTACATAGTACTCATGAAGCCCTGAATTCGATTCCCAGCACCATCCAAGTTCATACTGCATATAGATCTTAACTAAGGACAAGCACTTGTCCATATGGTTCAAATGTGATGTAATTTAGCAGAACATCAAAGTTGTGCTCTCAAAAATGGTAAAGTATTAACACGCCGTTAAGTATTTAGGTAACAACTAGTCCAAAAGAAGAATTCCTTCTCTGACTGCATTCTGTTTCCTCTGAGCTAAAAGACAAACTGGGATTTAAAATTTGAGGCAAACAATGGAGTTATAAGAGTCACAGCTTGGCCACGCCCTCATTTCATCACATTTCTCAGTATGTACAGTGCTTACTGAGGTGGAAAGATTAACACAGCATATGTCCCCACCTTATCATACAAATTTCCTGGGTTTCTTTTGTCATCCTCATCACTGCTGTCCTCCACAGGTGGATTTTCTCTCTTCATGTCATCTCCCAAATAGTGCTCAAAAACATTGGAGAAGGCAATTGCCGACAGCATACAGACAACTGGAGTCAGAGTCAGCATTAGCCGCACCATCACTCCAGCAAAGTAGACAGCACTGATTGCATACAGAGCAACTGCAAAGACAGGCTCTCTTTCAATGTTTTGTAGGGAAAATGTTCACAGGAAACTGAACTAAATGTTTAATACCACAGTATAAAACAAATCTAAAACTAGACAAATGTCTCACAAAGTAACTGCCTCTAAATTGTTAATAGTGACTAATTAATAATAGTCATATTTAGAAATGGCTAATGTTGACCAAATAAATAAAAACTAGAACAGTTCAGAGAAATGTATCATTCAAATTTCATTACAGGAAGTTAAATGTAATCAGTTATTTGTCAATAGCATCATATAAAATAGTGAGCTACAGGTGACAATGTATTTGTGCATTAGATCATTAACCACAGTATTTGTAGAATCAAAAACAGTCTAATAAAGGCAGTACCCAATATGCCATAAAGCCTGCTTTAAAGAAAAAAAAAAAGGTTAGGCTAGAAAGTTGGGTCAGGGGTTAAAAGCACTGACTGCTCTTGTAGAGGACCTGGGTTCAATTCTCAGCACCCACATGGCTGCTAACAACCATCCTAACTCTAGTTCCAGGGGATCCAATACCCTCTTCTGACCTCTGTGAGCATTACAAGACAGGGGTGCACTTACACACATGCATACACAAAATAAAAACAATAAAATATTAAAAAAAAAATAAGGTTAAGAAGCCGGGCATGGTGGCACACGCCTGTAGTCCCCCAGCATTTAGGAGGCAGACACAGGCAGATCTCCATGAGTTCAAGGCCAGCCTGGTCTACATGCTGAGTTCCAGGCCAGCTGGGGCTACAGGGAGACCCTGTCTCAAAAATACCCCCCCAAAAAACTGAGAACACTGAGATACTAATCAAAGGATAATCTATAGAGTCGCAAAAACCAAACAAACCCTGAAACAAGTTTCTAATAACTATAGCCTTTAAGATAAAGTGTTAATAATCACATGATTAAAGGCTACTACAGAAAAGTTAATGAGTTATTTGAACCATCATCTGAAGACGTTGAAAATATTTATTCTTGAATAAATACATTATACCATAATTTTATGTATTTGGGGTGATTTTGGTAACTTATTTTTAAATTATGTATATGGGGCAGTGCGCATGTGAGTACAGGTGTCTGCAGAGACCAGAAGATAGGTTTTGGTTTTTTTAGGAACAGGGCGTCAAAACATAGCCCAGTCTAGCCTTAAAATAAAATTCTCCTAAGTTCTAAAATTATAGGTAAGCACTACCACGTTTGGCAATACCATATATATTTTTTTAATTTTACATGTATGAGTGTATTGCCTGCAAGTATGTAAGCGCATGTGTGCTGTGCTATGTCCAAGGAGGTCAGAAGAGGACATCAGATCCCCTGGAACTGGAGTTACAGATGGCTGTTAGCAGCCATATGGGTGATGGGAATCGAACCCAGGTCCTCTGCAAGAGCAGTCAGTGCTCTTAACAGTTGAGCCATCTCTCCAGCCAATATCATATTCTTACATTCATAGCTCAACGAGTTTGTACATCTGCATGCCTCTTACCACCTACCATCAAGATATGGGACATTTTTATACTTTCTCATGCCTCTTTGTCAATAACTGCACTGCCTCCATTTAAAAAGTAAAACTAGTAATTGGTCTATAAAAATTTTTTGGTTTCCTTATTTTTGAACTTTAAAGAAATGAAATAATATAAAAGTGTTCTCCTTAATATTGCCTTCTTTTATTGACCCACACTCTTCTTGTATAACTGCTGTGTGCATTCTTTAACATGTTTTTTTGAGGGAATACATGCACTGAACTTCTGGGTATATACTTAGAAATGGATCTGCTGGGTCACAAAGTGGGCATATGTTTACTTTTAATCTTTTTGAACAAATGTAGTATGACTGATACAGAGTTCATTAATTTAAATAAAGGAGAAAAGAATGAGTGTCTTCCTTGAATTAGAACTCACTTGGATGCTCTGGAATACTAACTTGAACTGTTGCTTATAGTGCAGGCCCAGCACTAGTAGAAACTCAAGTCCTAGTGTTACAAATTATTTCATGACCTGTATGTGTCCTAAGGCAAATCACAGTTTGATTGTTTATTACAGTCAAATAGCAAGGGGCACACTTAAAGTCATGTAGAATCTTTTGGTTTCTACTTATTTTGAATATCATATCCTAAACATTTATCTTTTAAATATTTGTATTTCAAGTCTTCTTAGCTGGGAATAAACACAAATATACCAATGAAAAAGGGTATTTACTGAAAGGTAATCCGTATTGTTATTCCATTATAAAATTTATTTTACTCTGAAACCAGAACAATGGGTATCTCTGAAAATTTACTACTTATTAACAAAATTTAAAAATGAAACAAAAAAGTGAAGTTAAATAGTGAGATGTGGTGGTACATGTCTTTAAATCTGGCCCTCTTGGAGGCAGAGGCAGGTGAGTTTGAGGCCAACCTATCTATATAGAGAGCTCCAGGTCAGCTAGGGATACACAGTGAAACTGTCTCCAAAAAAAAAAGAAATTAACTACCAACAAATTTATCATTTTCTATTCTCAACCACAGACAATAAAGACTAACAATAAACTCTTAGAAACCATAATGAATTAAAAGTAAAATTTATATGCCAGGTCTAAATTTAAAAGGTAATAATTAACATATACAATGAAATTCAATTAACTTCCTTGGCTTAAGCACCTATGCAAAACAGGAGAAAACTTTATCTTGAACATAGAGTCAAGCAAAGAAAAACAAAACATTAAAGTAAAGTAATCTCAAAATGGAAATTAGATAATTGTTCCAAATCAAAGAGTTTATTAAAAAAAATCTTACCAAATACTCTTTCATCATTGATATTTTTGATGCAGAACCATAGGCCCGCTGGGAAGGTACATACAAGAATATGTAGATCAAAGAAGAAAGATACCCAAGTCGTAGGCTGATGCTCAGACACTGATGCAATAATTGGAATATGTATTTTTGCATACCTGATATTAGAAAAGTTAATTATTATTTACAATGAAGGGATAAAACAGGATTTCTTTTTTAGATGAAAAAAATTGTCTTTGATTGTTGACATGGCTCCTATCCCCAACTTTTTTTGTTTAAATGCATACTTTAACATAACTAGCTATAGTAGAAATCAATCTGCTTGGTACATGTCACTAAAACTAAAGTTAATCTACTCTGTTGATGGCTAGCCATCAACTATTGATTCTGATTTCTAATATGAAATCTTTGCTCTAATAAGTATTTGCAGTTCATCTCCATCTCTTAAAATTGCATCTACTCTTAACAAAACTAATTTTATATTCATTAGTTTAAAAAAACCCAATCTTTAAATGATACAGATGTTGCCTGCTCTGATAAAACTAAAATAAGGAATTAGCTGCAAAATGGGATTATATAACTCACATTTCAAACCCACAAAGCATTCAAAATGCAGGAGGTTGAGCATTTACTATAAACATAGCCTAAGTACTGACCAAACTGCTGACAGTATAAGAACACAAGGAGAAGGCTATTTAAAATGAGGCTAAATGGCATATTTGAACTCACCCAGTATCCCATAATGAATAAAACCTGCCACTCCACGGTGCAATGTAACCTTGAAAGGAAAAAATGCAGAGGAAATTATCTGCCTTTTATTACTTTGTAAATCCCACGCCACCCCTCCACTGCCCCTTTCTGCTGTTTTTGAGAGGTCTCATTATGCAGCACAAGCATGCCTCAAACTTGCAGCAAACCACCTGTCTCAGTTACCCAAATGCTGGGAACACAATTGTGTGTCACCATGACCAGCTTTGCTTTGAAAATTAAAAAATTTTTAATTTACTATTTTGTGTATGTCTGTGTGTGCATGTAGACACACATGTAGAGGTCAAACAACTTTGTGGAGTGGTTCTCTCCTTTACCTTTACTTAGATTCCAAGGTTAAATTCGGGTTGCTGGCCTGGGTAGCAGGCACCTACTGAGCCATCTCACTAGCCCGATTTTATAAATTTTTAATGGCTCTATGCTTACTATTAAATATGGATACATTTTAATAATTTCAGTTTTATTTCACAGATGCTGACATTGTTATGGTCAAGTAAAAACAATATGCCTGGAGAAAGTTTTCTTTCCAGAGAAAAATAACACTTAAACTTAGGGATAAAACTATAGTTTTCCAACGGTCTTTAGTTTCTAGTTGACTATTAAAAGAAGTCTAAGACATTAAACAACACTGGACAATTATTTTATGTGCATGAGTGCACATTTCTTGCATGTGTGTAAGTGAACCCATGTCATGCAATATCCAGAGGTCAGATTCCCCTGGAATCAAACCTGGGTCCTAAGAGAAGTCAGTGCTCTTAACTGCTGAGTCATCTTTCCAGCCCCAACACTGGATAATTTTTAAAACAAGAGAGTGTTTAAATAATCTGATCCAGGATGCCAAATCAACAGATAAATGACAAAGATGACCTTAAATACCTATATCTTTCACTCCAGTCAGCCCTTCAGTCTGAACTAGGCCGGTACATGAGTCTGACAGAGGGAATACCTCCAGAAAGAGATGGACTTGTTTATCAGGAACAAGCCTGAGGGTTAGAGTAACACACTGAAATGATTGGGCCAACTGTCTCAAGTTAGGAGAGAGAGAGTATACAAGGAAGGTGACATAGGAGTTGATCACAGATACCAATTTTTAGTTTAGGCATTTACCCAGCAAGAGAAAGATGGGTGTGGCTTTATCAGACCCGGAAGCAGTAAAACCAAGATGAACTAGTTTTCTAAACATTAAAATTTGTAATAATACTATTCAGATTTAGAACCTTTGATAATTATTTTAATACTATTTCTATAGACTAAAACCACAGTATTGGACCTACTAAGATAAATCGAGTATATGAAAAAAAAATCCCTAAAAATTAGCTTTTATAAAATAGAGACAAGACATACATCTTATAGATGATGGCACCTACCTGTGTAAGTCAAATAGATGACACTAAGAAACACGGCACCTGCAGCAAGTGAGACACCCAAAAAGAAAAGGGTCTGGAACTCTTGCTTTGTTAACCGATCTCTTAGATACTGCAAAAAAGCGTAAGCTTGCAGCAATGCAAAGACACCTAATAAAGAAAAGGGTCATATATATATATTTATATACACATATATAAAATCAACAGAACATTTCCCAATACCATTTAAACATTTTCACTTCAAAGACCTGAGAATACCCTGTACCCTTTACACTGGAGACTATTTCATCAGTCAACATTCCCTTTGCCAAATAACAGTTAAGCAAACAAAACACCTAAAAGATCCCATTACACATTTTTCCTAAGTGATCAGAGCCCAATGTATGCACCATACAAGAGACAAAACAATGCATATGAATAAAAACAGCTGGCTGTGTACACTGACTTTACTATGCACTACTGTGTATTCAACACTCAATATATTTCTGTCAATTTGCTATTTGGTAAATTAATAACACTATTCCACAGACTTTAATGTGTTATACAACTGTAAAGCTCTTAAGGTGTGGGGGCAGTCAGAGGACTGAAAGGCCTGCTGGGAAAAAAAATGCAGCTAAGAAAGTTATATTCTGACTGTACATGTTGACACCCAAATCTGAAACCTCAAAATTTCTAAGCACCAAAATATCATCACAATGTTACAGGCTCAGAGCATTTTGGATTTTTGGATTAGGATGCTCAACTGCTGATTCTATACAAATATTCCCAAATCTGAAAAACGGAAATGTAAAACACTTCTGGACCCAATCTGATATGATATTTTTAAAGTTTTCCAGATAAAATTAACTACCCACAAACTCCGCAAGGGTCCTGAATCTTGTACTGAAAATTTCTGATAAAATTTAACTTATAGATCTCCTGTAACTGAGACTCAGATGTCAGTGGTGGCTGTTAAAAAACTAAAGAATAAAAAACTAATTAAAAAAAATATCCAACAACCAAAAAAACCCCTTTTTCCTTTGGAAGTCTGGTCAATTAAACTTTTACATATTCTTTAGAAAAAAGAAGATACTCCTTTTCCCCCAAATGCTACACCTATTACCAAAGTTCACACAGGCTGATCATATCCACTGTGTGTATTCACTGTACTAAATGGGTTACAAAAGGCATGTAAAAAGTGAAAGCACTGTTGGCTGACAATACTGCAATCACTTATTAATCAAGGTACAATGATAGAGGGAAGATGTTTTATATCAACATACAAGAAAAAAGATTCCATGGTCATATGTATTTAAAAAAAATTAAAAAAAATTTTTAGAAGAAGCATTTCATTACAGCTTTAACGTACTCAATAGATACATCCCTTTCCAAAGTGGATATAAAATTTTTAGGTTCACAGTCGAATTAATACAGTTATACAATATTGAACTCAGTATAAACCCTGTAAGACAAAATTGAATGAGTTTTTAACCTTTAAAAAACATCTCCACTTCATTTTAAAGTATACTGTTTCTTACAGAAAGACTTATTGTTTTTGCTAATAACACTTAGATGTTGGCGCATGCATCTCTAATTTGTATGTATCTGATTATTACTAGTCATATGTAGATTATTTTTAAAGCTGAGAAAGTATTTTACAATGTCCTTTATCTTAACTTTAAATATGAATTTTCATACCTGCAGCTGCCATGTGCTCACTTGTTCTGATTGGCTGGAATCCCACAAAAGGTATCTGCATGGATAATATTAAACCCACAATGTAGAAAGTGCTATATGCTATAAAAACAAAACAGGAAACAAGGGTAATTTACTACTGCCATTAAGTACTCAAAACATAACTCTTAAGTTCAGTTAAAACTTTTACTTATTTTAAGAAAAGAATCTTGAAGTGACTGATTTGATGTGTGATTGTCAGCCACATTATAAATCATGATATTCTATCAATTTTTAAAATACTATTTTAGGTTTCTTTTGTAAACCATCACTTATGGTTTCAGAGACTTGGGATGCCTTCATTTCTAGCAAATGGAATCGGGTTTTTTAAAAAAATCTACCATTAGTAATCACTGATAGGAGTCAAGAAATTATGCAATAAGTAAATATTAATCCATAATATCCATGACCTAATAATACACATTTATTACCACCATTAACTTACATGAATACCTGCTATAGTCTTCAAAGTTCTGGATATTTACTATCTTTCTTACAATATTCTTTGTATAGAACTTTTAATAGCTTAAAAAAAAAAAAGAGTAATTACTAGGCTTCCTGTGTCTAAGGAAAAGAACTGCAAGGGGTTGACAATCTGTGTGAAAGACTGGTTTTGCACTCACATGCTCAGATCATGAGTAGGTACGCTAATTAGAGGTGAAGTATTTGAAGTCACTGAAATGAAATTTGAGAAGTGAAGATAAAAGCCTATCTAAAAGAAGTTAATGTGAAAATTATTCCACTTACAAACATTATTCATATCACTTTATAAGTGTATTTAATGTTTAGTTTTGGGAAAATTACCATCAAAAGAAATGTTACACCATACATTTCTATGTGCTTTACATTGTGTAACACAACACAAAGCATACACTTCACTTCTCCTTGCCCAACTCAGATTTGAATCTTTATTTATTTTTAGAAGAAACCCACGATATAAATTATAGGCTATATGTTCAAATGTTATATAGCCTTGAAAGCTGTCTGGTAAGAGATGATTACTCTACTAGGAAGAAGCAGCTCATAAATCTAACTGAAAGGACCAACCCATCTGAACCAAGTTTCCAATGCCTTGGAGCTAATGAGGACACAGTACAGCATCCATCCAGAACACTTTGCAGACACACTAATACTGTGGTATGGCCCTCTGTGAGATACTCAAAGTTGGAATTAACAAGAATGTCTATGCCACATGATTTGAATCATCAGCTTATGTGGTTGATGGGTTTTCTAATACCTTTCTTTAACTAATCAGTCTCCTGCTGGAGCCCTGACAACTCCGAGTCAGAATCAGGAGGAAAAAAACAAGTCATTATGTGACCTAGAAGAACTATGTCAAATACTCAATTCTCACACACAGAATGAGAGCTGGGCAAAAGCTGTAACATCCCTCCCAACAGTAATAACCCTAGATGCTATCTATGATCAACAGGAATTTTACAATGTGGAGCTGAAAAATCAAACCCCAAACACTGAACACAAAGGCACAACTAGAAAACCTCATAAAGCTGATATGCTTTTATCATAGTGAAGCCCATGCACATCCAAACAGGACAACCACCTCTGAGGCTGCACTTCTGTTTCGTAGAAATGCAAATGAACATGGAATGTGAGGGAACATAGAATGTAGTAAAACTGTGATACAATTTGGGCTGAATAAAATAAGTGGCACAAAGTAAATGAAAAAATAATGCCCTTAAAAAAACTGAGATGAAAATTCCAGAGCAAAACCACCTTATACTTAACAATCCAGGAGCCTTTGGTATATTCACAATCAATACCTCCTTCCTAATTCCCATTTTATCGCGCTGAAAGAAAATCCTAAATTCATCAAGCAGTTGCTTCACAATTCCCCCTTTTCCCAGAGCACGGCAACCATGAATCTGCATCTGGTTCCTCTTTTGTTCTTAGAGTAAAAAGTAAAAGCCTCCTGTTTCTTCCTTCCAAATTACACTCTCCAGAAATCAACACAAGGAGGTATATTTCAACATATACACATTTGTAGTCAAATTTTTCCTCTTCAAATAAGATCATTCTGTATTTCACAATGTAAATGGCTCGTTATTCCTTTCTTGGTAACCCAAATGAAAACTCCCTCTGAGGGATGCATGCAAGTTCATTTCTAGGAATATTAAAAATAAGTAAGACTAAGCCTGGGAACACCTTTGTTCAACAACCCATCACTCTCATGTAACTGCAGAGTCACTCTCATCAGTGAGGGAAGCAAACACCCAGGACTGGGGGGGAGGGGGTCACTCAGTGATGGAGTACTTCCTAGCATGCCTAAGGCTCTGGGCTCCATGACTAGAACTGCAAAAAGCCAAAAGCAACCAAACAACAAAAACCCACTTTCTATGAAAACAAATACACTAGAGCACAAGCAAATAATAAGAGGGAAAGAAATGAGATTGGGAAAAAAAGATAATCTCAGGAAAACAGAAGCTGAGTGAAAGTTTAATTATTACGTTGTTAATGTCAAATAAAGCCAAACTAACAGAAATGGCCGAGTTCCCAGCAACATTTTATATCTTTGACATGTAACAGAACTCAACCTTGGTATTTTTTGGGGATCACTTGTTCTATGATGTGCTACATAGGGAATGTATGTCTCATCTCACAGAACCCTCGATGCATGGGCTAGGACTGCTTACCAAGCTATACACTGTCAAACACCACAAACTTACCTTGTTAAAGACTGCTTTTCTCCTTGAATTTCTAAAATAACATATACCATCACAATACCTTAATTTAAATCTCATTTGTAAATCTACATTTTTAAAACATAGAAAATGAGAAATTAAATTCACTTAAGTGTAAACACAATTTTTCCTATAAAAAAAACTATTTTTCTCCAGGCTTTATATATTATTTAATAGTGTTTTTTTTTTTAAAGACCTCTTTAGTTTATTCAAATATTTACCTTATATCTATTATAGTCTGGACATTTTAAAAACAGAAAATCCTATTAAGATCAATCCTATATAGCCTCTAAGAGTTACATAAACTGTTAAAATAACAGATGTCAACAAACAGCCATAATACTTGAAACAAGTACTTGTGTTACTGGAGGGAACATGGGCACTGAAGAGGTAGTGTAAACGTCTATAAGGTTCTCTAATATTGGTTTTCAAAACCTCAATGTCAATACATAGCAGCTACTTTTCCCTATAACCTCTCTAGGAGAGCTGACCAAACTACCATCCCATCTGTTACAACTTTAGACCCATCCATTCTAACCTACTTTCCTTGCCCTTTAAAGCAGAACAAAGCGGTCCATCAAATAGGTGAGCTCTAAGAAAACCCACAACTTCAGTGATGCCGTAAATCATTTATTACATCATGAAATATTACCACACTGCCATCCTGTGGAAGCAAAGTTACTGGCATTCATTAATGGACCAAACTTCCAATGAGTTAGAAAATGCCCCCACAAACTAATTATGAAGACTTACCCGTATGTCTGCTTACCCATATGTCTGCACACATACACACTGTGTATTTTTACCCAGGGAAAATCTCTTTGATTTGAGGCAAATAGTAATTTAAAGAAATCCTAAACATGTTTTTGTTCAAAGCACTTTAAATCCAGGGACATGTCATGGCATGGTATAGTAAGAGGATGTAAACAATGTGCTCAAATGAGTTCTTCTACAAATAAAAGCCACGGCAAAGTCTGGCTCAGGTTCCACTGAAATTTTCAGTACTAATGAAGCATTACAATAGCACTCTTTATGCCACTTTTAAATCTTTGTGTGAGCATGTTCATGTGAATGCGGGTGCACAAAAGCCAAAGTATAAGTGTGGAGGTCAGAAGGCACCGTAGGGTGTTGTTCCTCACCTTCCACCTTGTTTGAGACAAGTCTCTTCTTACTGGTTGTGCTCTCACTCAAGGGAACTGGCCCATGATCTTCCGGTGGCTCTCTTGCCTCTACCTCCCATCTCTCCATAGCACTTGGATTCTAGACACAGCTATCATGCCTGGCTTCACTGGGGTACTCACACTTGCACAGCAAACACTTTACCCAATGAGCCATTTCCTCAGTCCACTCTACATTTTTAAGTTACCATTACACTTCCTTTACACAAAGCTAGAAAAGATTCTGTGAATACTATATCCCACTAACAGTAACCACTATTAAATCTCATCAGCATTTCTGAGTTGCTTTATCTCTTTATTGATATTTAACAGGAATGGTTAGCAAAATAGTCCTCTGTCAATCAAAATACAGTAGAGAAAGATCTTTAAATTCAACCAGTTTTACTTGATTGCCAACAAACACAATTAAAAGTGCCAAAGAAAGCCGGGCATAGTGGTGCATACCTTTAATCCCAGCACTTGAGAGGCAGAGGCAGATGGATCTCTGTGAGATCAAGGCCAGCCAGGTCTACATAAGTGAGTTCCAGGCCATCTGTGGCTATAGGGAGACCTTGTTTAAATTAAAAGAAGAAAAAAAAAGTGTCTAAGAAGCCAGGCATGTGGCACACACAGAGTTGATAAGAATATTGACATTTTGGTTAATGAAGACGCCTTTCTACTTTGTCATTACTTCTGGTCACTGTGAACCTTGGTACATATACAGGGTAAAGAGTGGTAAGGACACGTGGGTTAAGATGAAAGTAGTAATAAAACAGAAAAGAGTCTGCCTAGCAGAGAGAAATACACGATTAATTTAGCAAGCAGATATAATGAGAGAATTCTCTTTGCTAAGGGCACTGCTCATGGTGAGCAGGTAGTGAGTAAGTCACTCAAATAGACATTTTACAAGATCCACATTTGTAAAAGCAGCAAGAAATGACTTATTCAAATAATTCATTAGTTCAGGCAGTGTTAATGAGCTAAAACTACAGTGCAATGAGATTATAAATGTGCTGTGTTTAAACACTATAGGAGAAACTCATGAAATATATACAACTTTATTTTTAACTTAAAAGAACAGGATATTGTGCCTCAGTCACTTCTGCAGCTATGTAATAACTAGACCTAATATATCAAAAATCTTAACAGACAAGTATCAGAAAAATTAATTAACAAGCATAGTAAAACGAGATTTACACATCATTTT